GACAAAGACAATTCACAGAATAAAAGAAAATCAAGTATTTGATAAGGGTACAGTACCCAGAGCATAAAAAAAATTTAGTAACATAAAGATAACCCTCTTTAAAAATGGGCATGTGGTGGTGGGGTGGGGAGGAGTAGTGGCACCAGGCTGACTCAGTTAAGCGTTGGACTTCGGCTCAGGTCATGATCTCATGGTTGGTGGGTTCGAGCCTGGCATTGGGCTCTGGAGCTGACAGCTCAAAGCCTGGATTCTGTATCTCCCTCTCTTTCTCTGCCCCTCTACTGCTCACGCTCTCTCTCTCTCAAACATAAATAAACATTAAAAAAAATGGGCACAGGATCTGCATAAGCATTTTTCCAAAGGAGATAAACAAGTGGCCAATAAGCACATCAACAGAGGCTAAATACCATTAGCCACAGGGAAATGCAAATCAAAACCGTGAGATACCACTTCACATCTACAAGGATGACTATAATAAAAAACATATATACTAACAATTGTCTGAGAGAATATGGAGAAACTGGAACGGTCATACACTGCCGGTAGCAATGTACAACGGTGCAGCCGCTATGGAAAATAGTCTAGTAGAGCAAAACACAGTCACCATATGATCCAGCAATTCCATTCCTAGGTATTTAATTTGTATGGTCTGAATGTCTGGGTCCCCTTCCCCACCCTCATGAACGTGCACAAATGGGCTTGGTGCCTTTAAAGAAAAGGCTCCAGAGAGATCCCCAGCCTCTTCCACCATGTGAGGACATAGTGAACAGGTGCTAGCTATGAATCAGAAAGAAGGCCTTCACCAGAACACAACCATGTGGGAGGCTTGATCTTGGACTTCCAGCCTCCAGAACTGTTAGCAATAAATTTTTGTTTATAAACTACCCAGTAAGTGGTATTTTATTATAGTAGCCGGAATGGACTAACAATAATCAAGAGAAACAAAAACCTATGTCTACACAAAAACTGCTACATGAATGTTCATCGCAGCATTATTCATAACAGTAAACAGGTGGAAACATCCCAAATGTCCATCAATTGATGAGTGGATAAACAACATGTATTATATCCACACAATGAAATATTATTCAGCAATAAAAAAGAAGGAAGTACTGATTTATGACAAATGAATCTTGAAGACATTATGCTAAATGAAAGAAACTGGTCACAAAGGATCACATATTGTATGATTCCATTCATATGAAATGTCCCTAAGAAGTACACGTATAGAGACAGAAAGTAAATTAGTGGTTGCCTAGGGTGGGGGGGGGATTAGGATTCACTGCTAATGGGCACAGGGTTTCCTTTTGGGATGATGAAAATGTCTTAAAATCAATTGTGTTGATGGTTGCAAAACTCTATAAATACACGAATAACTACTGAACTATACACTTTAAATGGAGGAACTGTATGGAATGTGAATTAGATTTCAACAAAGTTGTTAAAAAACAATGTTAATGTTTATTTATTTTTGAGAGAAAGAGAGAGAGAGTGAGGCAAGGGAGTGGCAGAGGGAAACAGACACAGAATCCAAAGCAGGCTCTAGACCCTAGGCCCTGAGCTGTCAGCACACAGACTGACGCCGGGCTTGAACTCATAAGCTGTGAGAGCATGACCTGAGCCAAAGTTGGACACTTAACTGACTGAGCCACCCAAGCGCCCCATCAAAAAAGTTTTTGTTGTCATTGTTTTTTATTACTGAGTTTATTTATTTACTTTTAGAGAGCAAGCTGAGGAGGGGCAGAGGGAGGGAGAGAGAATTCTAAACAGGTTCCACACTGCCAGCGAGGAGGCCGATGCGGGGCTTGAACTCACGAACTGTTGAGATCGTGATGTGAGCTGAAATCTAGAGTCAGATAGAGGCTTAACGACTGAGACACCCAAGCACCCCAAAAATGTTGTTTTACAAAGGGAGAGAGAGATCCTATGCAGAAGCCCTGAAGAGAGCAATGTGTAACAGGCTCCAGCAGGCCCAGGCCCCTGTGCCCAGCTCCAGCACCACCTGACAACAGTCACATGAGCCAGAACCAACCAGCTGAGCGCTTCTCAAATTCCTGACCCACAGAAACAAACGACTGCAGCTGTTTTAAGCCATTAAGTTTTGAGGTGATACATTAAAACTGGCAATAAGTAACCAGAATAATAATTAATATAATAGAAATGAAGAATGAATAACTCAAGAATTTAGTGAAAGGACCATAAAATAAATGCTAAGGAAGTAATTTAAATATACTAAAGCAGTAGAAAAGCATTGAAGACAAAACTAGAAACTGATTAGTAAGCAAACAAATGGTAGCACTACGAAATAAATCTCAAAGCAGTTTCTTTGGTAAAGGAGGAAGAGAAGAGGGGAGGCAGGAAGATAATGGTTAGTTCATCAAATCAGGAAAAGGGGATAAAACACAAGTAAACAAAATAGAAAAGGAAAATGGAGGAACCACAGATCAGAGGATATAGAAAGAACAAGAAGTTATTTTGCTTAATCTTTTTTTCTTTAAAAATTTTTTTACAGTTTATTTTTGAGACAGAGAGAGACAGAGCATGAGTAGGGGAGGGGCAGAGAGAGAGGGAGACACAGAATCTGAAACAGGCTCCAGGCTCTGAACTGTCAGCACGGAGCCTGACATGGGGCTTGAACCCACGAACCGCGAGAGCATGACCTGGGCCAAAGTCGGACGCTTAACCAACTGAGCCACCCAGGCACCCCTATTTTGCTTATTCTTACTAAATACACTAAAAAACCTTGAGAAAATTATTTTGCAGGAAAATATCCATGAGCAAAACTGGTATTAAAAGTGACAGAAAATATAGACATGTCAATGACCACAAAGAAAGCTGAGACAGTTTCAAAGAACTGACCTCTAAGAAAAGTAACAGTCCAAAATGCCTGTATGATAAATTCAGGTAACTCCAATGTTATTTAAAATAGTGTATCAAAGCACAGAAGAAAGAAAACTTCTAAATTCTTTTCATGAAGTCAGAATCAATCATATTTATAAAAAAACTGTCAAGGATATCACAGGCACATACATACACCCATGGATCAATCTCACTTATGAGATCTATGGAGAAAACCTTAATAAAATCTTATCAAATGGAATCCAAGAGCATACTACCATTATATTACAATACCATTATGAAGTAGTCTATCCAGAGATAGCAGAATAATTAACCTTAAGAGAGCAAAGAAAAATCATATGATAATCTGCACAGATGCTGAAACAGAATGACAGAATTCTATATTCCCGCTCTTTGCCCCTCCCCCACTCATGTTTTTTCCTCTCTCTCTCAAAAATAAACAAGCATATGGGGCGCCTGGGTGGCTTAATCGGTTAAGCATCCGACTTTCGCTTAGGTCATGATCTTNGTTGGCTAAAGTCATTGGTTATTTTACATATGGGCTTCTTCCCACAGCTACTCACAACATGGCAGCTGCCTTATTTCAGACCAAGTGAGTGAGAGAGAGGGTGAGACTCCAGGATGGAGGCCACCATGTCACTGTAACCTAACCTTAGAAGTGATATCCCATAGGGGCGCCTGGGTGGCTTAGTCGGTTAAGCGTCCGACTTTTGCTTAGGTCATGATCTCACGGCTCGTGGGTTCGAGCCCCGCGTCGGGCTCTGTCCTGACTGCCAGCTCAGAGCCTGGAGCCTGTTTCAGTCTGTGACTCCCTCTCTCTCTGACCCTCCTCTGCTCATGCTGTCTCTCTCTCTCTCTCTCTCCTAGAAATAAATAAAAAACATTAAAAAAAAAATAAACAAGCATAAAAAAAAAGTAGATGGCTACTTCCTTAACATACCTTAAAAATGGTATCTCAAGCAAAAAGCCACCATCATACTTAATGAAGAAACGTTCGAAGTATTTCCATTTAGGGGAATCTGGGTGGCTCAGTCAAATAAGCATTTAATTTTGACTCAGGTCTTGATCTCATAGTTCATGAGTTTGAGCCTTGCAGCAGACTCTGTGCTGACAGGTGAGAGCCTGGAGCCTGCTTGGTATTCTGTGTCTCCCTCTCTCTCTGCCCCTCCATGCTCTATCTCCCAAAAATGAATGAATAATAAAAAAATTTTTTTTTAATAAAAAATAAAGTACTCCCATTTATGTTAGTGGGTATTTTTCTCATTCCTATTACCACTAGTAAGGTATAACAATATAATTAGACAAGGCAAAGACAAATATAAAAACTAGAAAGGAAGAAACTGAAAGTAACATTATTTCCAGCTAGATCAGATGCCATCCCTTGAGAAGTTAATAGGGTCAAGTGAAAACACTACCAACAATAAAAATAAGGTGACTTGAGTATGAAATTATTATAAAACCCAACAGACTTTTAAGCTAAAAAAAAAAAAAAAAAGGCACAGTGGGAAAAAAGATGCCATTTACAAAAGTGGCAGAAAAGAGAAAATAACCAGGAAAAAAAACAACAAAAAATGTTTAAGATTTGTAGTAAGAAAAATTCAAAGCACTCTGGCTGAGGGATATAAAGGAAGTGTAGACCGAATGGAAGAGCAAAGTCAGAGTCAGTATTATAAAAACCGTTCTGTAAATTTAACAAGAAGATGTGTTTTGAATTTACCTACCTACCTACTGGAATTAGAAAAGCTGAACTTAAAATTTATATAAAAATAGCACAAAAATATCTGGGATGATTCTGAGAAATGTAGCGTCACAAAGGCAGGACGAGCGCTACCTGACGTGAAGATGCAGGACAGGAGTTGGCCATCACACCGGTACGGACTCACGCACGAATAGAGCAAAAGCGCAGAAGTCGGAAAACAGACCAAAAAGTACGGTCTCTAAAGCTACAGGGACATGGGGCGGGGTGGCAAGGTGCTGCTCTCAGAGATGCAGGACGACACCACACACGCAGCGTCGCAGGCTGCACGAGCAGTGCTCTCAGGTGTCCTACAAGGCCCTAACTCCCACTGCTGTGGGGCTGAAGGATCAGATCACTAAGCTGCAATGGGATGCCTCATCAGGGTAAGCTTAGGAAAACTCACTTCCGTCAGGATGACATCATCATCCAGGTCCTCTTCGTCATGTTGCTGAGGAGCTGGGGTGACAAGCATGGGAACCCCTTCCTCATCAGAGGAGTCAGATATGGTGATGGGTCCATCTCTGAGATTGATCCAGTCTAAAAGAAGGCAGAGAACATGGTTACCAGGAGGTGGGCACGATCACATTCAGCTTTTTAATTCAATTTTGGCATAAAAAGGGTCAAGCCTAAAGCTAAGTTCATGGCTACTGGTGTGTTAACTTATCTCCTCAAGTAGCACATGCACCCAAACATTAACAGCCAAATTTCCATGGTGATCTTTGCAATAATACATTCTGGGAATTAAAAAAAAAATCTGACATTATTATCAACTTTTTCTTATACTAGGTTAGAGAAATCTGTTGATAAAATATTGACTCCAAATTTTGAAAAAGTGAAATCACGGTCTCTCCCTCATCTCTCTTCTTCCCAGGGAATAAAACATTGTTTTATTCAACTGATTGGTCTGAAATAACTTTCACTCAAACAGTAAAATTTCCATTTACTATTTAAAATATCAAAATTTGCTCACCTTAGACATAAACCTGAAATATAGTTTACGCAAACATAGTTGAGCACTTTAAACATTTAGTAGATACCATGACCGTAAACAATAGAACTTTCCTAATTACCTTTTAAATACAACTATCTGGATAACTATGTTCAAAGTTTCTAACTCTTTTCATTTGTTTGAAGATAGAGCATGCCCAATTTGAATTACTGAATAACAAACTGTTAACTGTTTCCTGCCTGGCCCATGGGAATGTTAAAGGTTAAAGCAATGAAGAGAAAATGCACTCAGTGTCCTAGAGAAAAGGTTGGGGGGTGGGGAGGACAAGAAAAGAGGCATCATCATTATAAATGTTGAAATTTCTCCATTAAAGCTCTAATATTTTTCTCAAGGTTAACGTCTCATTTATTTTTATGGCACCCAACAATTTGAAAAGCAACGTAAAGTCAATTATCTCACTTCATCCTTGTGACAGGGCTGTGCGGACATCAGTTTAAGACAGGTAAGTCTGTGAAATCTAAGGCTTGACCTCCTAGGTCCAAGTCTCTGCTCTACTATATGCCAGCCACGTGATGCTATTATCTAACTTCAGCAAGCATCCACTTCTTCAACACTACAAAAGGTTAACAAGGGTTGTCTGAATGGAGAAGGCTCAAACCTGCAGCCTGCGGGGGGAGGGGGAGACAGCCAACCAGAGCTGGCCTAATTCATGCTGAAGAATTCTAGATTTTCCTGAATGTCCTCAATCATTATATGCCTTTTGGTCATTTCCAGTCATTAAACGGCTGTTTTTGGCAATACTGTCTAGTTTTTTAAGATCTAATTTGCTTTATTAAACAAGTCATGAATTGGACCGCACCCCAAGTAGAGAGTAGAGTGGAGCTGGGGATGATTTCTTCTCATTTTTCACCGGTTTTGGGGAGAGAATCTGCCAGGCTCCTCAGTCATTCCAAAAAACCCACCCTGCGAAGGTCCATTATGAAGAGACACTGAGGCAGAGGCACTAGACACCAGGCACAGGGTCAAGAGAGGAAAGAGGTGCCAGTGAAATAGAATAATGAACAAGGCCCTGCTTTCTGCTGTTTGGCTCCCAGAATGCTGGCGGTCAGTGTTAGATTCCATATGCAGGAAACTGTCGATTCCTCTCCAGAAGAACTGGCCCAAGAAAAAAAAACACTTAGAGCCCACCTTGAAAGACCCAATGAAAAAGCTGGCTTGAAACTTCTCACCTCACAGTGAAGCCCAGTGGATGACAAAATACTCCCCCAACAAACCATGTATAAACACACTAGTTTTTAAAAATATAGTTAAAAAAAAACTACAGCGTAACAAAGTCTATGAATCAAAAATATAACTCCGTGAATTAATACAAAAGGCCCATAGCTGAGTGACCACCACCAAGCTCAGTAAATACAACATTTCTAGTACATTAAAAGCCTCCTGCCTCCACAGACTAGTTTTGATTTTGAGCAGACATTCGTTTCTGGCTTCCCTGCAAATACTAGTTCCACGTACCCATGTGGTGGCATGTGCAGCAGCCCTCTCTGTTACACATAGTCCACCATGTGACTGTATCACAAGTGGCGAAATTACAGGTTATTTATTCTTCTGTCAATGGACATTTGGGTTGGTTCCAGTCTGGGCTTGGCAATTTTGGATACTGCAGTATTTTGGATACTGAACACATCTTTTGGTATGCTCATTTCAGTTGGGTACGTTTTAGGAGCAGAAGAGCTGAATTATAGGGAAAGCATATGTTCAATTTTAGTGGATAATGCCAAATAATTTTCCAAACTGTTTGTGCCAATTTATATTCACCAGCAGTGAATATACCAGCAATGTGGGATGGTACCTGCTACTTCATGTCCTCATGGAAGCACAGCCATGCTTCTTCAGTTATATATTATCTATAGCTGCCTTCACTTTTTAAACAATTTTTTAAAATGTTTTTTATTTTTGAGGGAGAGAGAGAGAATGAACACACGGTGGAAGGGTAGAGAGGAGACAGAGGATCCAAAGCAGGTGCTGCGCTGACAGCAGAGAGCCCAATGCCTGAGGTGGGGCTCAAACTGATGAACTGTGCGATTGAGACCTGATCTGAAGTCAGATGCCTAACTGGCTGAGTCACCAAGGTGCCCCTGCCTTCACTTTAACATACAGCTGAGTAGTTGCAACAAGACCACATGACTCACAAGGGAAAAACAGTGACTAGCTGGCTCTTAAAAGTTGGCTGCGCCCTGGTTTAGATTATTCAGTTAGATGAATCTCATAAGCTTCAAGATTGTATTTTCACTATCATGCAATTAAAAATATTTTCCAATTTCCACTGTGATTTCTTCTTTGAACCATAAGTTGTTCTGAAGTATGTTATTTTCCACACATACAGGGATTTTCTAATTACATTTCTGTAAATGATTTACAACTTAATTCCAGCATGGTTAGAGAACATAATCTATATGATTTCAATCCTTTGAAACTTGTTTTGTGGCTCAAAATATGGCCAGTTTTGGAAAATACACTGGGTGCAGTATTCCATCTATATCTAGTATGTCAAATTTGTTGATCATGATCTTCCGTGTTCTATATTCATACAAATGTTTGTGTATGCTTGCTCTCTTGTCAGTTAGTGGAAAAAACATGTTAAAATCTCCCATTCTGTGGATTTATCCGTTTCTTTTTTTTTTTTTTTTTTAAATGTTTTATTTCTGAGAGAGAGAGACAGAGAGACAGCGTGAGCAGGGGAAGGTCAGAGAGAGAGGGAGATACAGAATCTGAAACAGGTTCCAGACTCTGAGCTGGCTGTCAGCACAGACCCTGACATGGGGCTCGAACCCACAGACCGTGAGATCATGACCTGAGCCGAAGTCGGATGCTCAACCGACTGAGCCACCCAGGCGCCCCTATCCATTTCTCCTTTTAGTTCTGTCGATTTTTGCTTTAGATGCCATGTTACTAAATGTATAGAAGTTAGAACTGTTTTGTCTTTCCAGTGCATTAACCCTTTTATCATTATGAATTCTTAGTATCAATACTTCTGGCTCAAATGTTTATTTTAACTGATAACATACAGACATACCAGCTTTCTTTTGTGCTATGATTTGCATAACTTATCTTTTTTCATTCTTATTCCTTTAAAATTTTCTTTAAAAAAATTTTTTTTAAATGTTTTATTTATTTCTGAGAGAGAGAGAGCTTGCGTGCATAAGCAGAGGAGGGTCAGAGAGAGGGAGATACAGAATCTGAAGCAGGCTCTAGGCTCTGAGCTAGCTGTCAGCACAGAGCCTGATGCAAGGCCTGAACCCACAAACTGTGAGATCATGACCTAAGCCAAAGTCGGACACTTAACTTAAAACTGACTGAGCCATCCGGGTGTCCCTAAACTTTCTTTATTTTACCTTTTTAAGCCTATTTTCACTGGGTATAGAATTCTAGCTAAATACTACTCGGCAATTAAAAAAGGATTTAATTACTGATAATGCAATGTGGATGTATCTCAAACCATTCTGTTGGGGAGAAAAACTCAGGCATAAAGAGTATACACGGTCTGGTTCCATTTATGTGAAACTGTTCCATTTATATGAAGCAGATCAGCGGTTTCCTAAAGCCAGGAGTGGGGAGAGGACTGACCACAGATGGGTCATAAAAGCACCTTTGTGGTATGACAGAAATGTGTGGTATATGGGTACATTCATTTTTCAAAGCTCACTGAACTATACACTTAAAACGTGTGCATTTATTTAAATAAATTAGACTTCAATAAATATGATTTAAAAATAAAAAACCTACAGAGTTGGCACAATAAAAATTATTAATACAGCTAATAAAAGCAAAACAACTCTGCATCCCTGAAAAAATATCCTCATGCTGGGTGCAAAATACACAAACCTTGTCTAACCGAAAAATACACCTCCAAAGTCAATAATTTCCCCAAAGGAATAAGCTGTTCTGAAATTCTGTTCAAGTATATTTAAAACCCAGTTAAAACACAACTATATTAATTTGATATACATGCTGAAAAAATTTGAAAATGATCACATATCCAAACTATAGCTAAGATTTAAAACTTTCTCAATCACAGTGAATTATGGTTGCACTACCAAGTTAGAATAAACTATTAATAAAATCCTCAAAAAATCAGTACATTTTTTGTATTCATAATGTGCATAGCTTAAGCATGTTAATTTGTTTTTCTAATTTATTTGCTTAATAAAATCTGTTCGACTTTAAATGTTCTCTGAAAGCCAGATGTATGTAATTTACAATCTACTCTTCTAGGAAAAAGAATATCTTCATAAGCACAAAATATTAATGGGAAAAAACAACAAAAAAGTGTTCTAATTTCTTCCACAGAATCTATACTTATAAAATATACTCTTTTCCTACTCACTAGCATGAATTTTTTCCTTTCAGCCTACGTGAAAATGTGAATTAGGATTTGACAAAAAATTTCATATACATTTAGGAATGTTACATAAATGCAGGCTCCTTTCCCTTTATGAATCAATGAACTTCCCCCAATTTTTAAACACTATAAAGTGAATACATGTTCTAAAATTTCCTGTAAGGGGGTGCCTGGGTGGCTCAATCAGTTAAGTGTCCAATTCTTGATCTTGGCTCAGGTCATGATCTCACGGTTCATGGGTGTGAGCCCCACTTTGGACTCTGCGCTAATAGCGTAGAGTCTGCTTGGGATTTTCTCTCTCTCTCTCTCTCTCTCTCTCTCTCTCTCTCCNCTCAAAAATAAACAAACATTTAAAAAAATAAAATAAAATCCCCTGTAAGGCAACTAGAATCTCCTGGCAAAACAATAAATGAAGCATAATATGAAGGGGCAAAAATGCAAGAGCAGCATTTTCAGTACCTGGAGGAGCCCTCTTTTGAAGACCCCATTCTTTCAAAACCACAGCTGCCACTGTTCCCACACTCCCGCTTCCTAAGATCCAATGACTGCACATTCACAGCTCTTTTTGGCTTGCTCATTAATAGCTTATGAATCCATTTCTGAGAATAAAGTCCATTCATGCCAGCAAGTATCACCATTTGACACAAAATTTTAGTCTGATGAAAGTCCATTACATCAAATGTTCCGACGTCTAAAAGTGAAATGTCTCTGGGTTCTACATGGTGCAAAATAGGTTCATTTCAAAGACTATCTAACTGTAACATAAGAGGAAAAAGCAATGATGAAAGGGAGAAAGTGAGAACACTTACCTTGTCCCCGGTGGCAGTGAAAGTTGTTCAAGTGAATTACCTCTTCATTGTTGTTTCCTTCTGCCATTTTCAATTGCAGACATACACATATGTGTTTACTAATATCTGAACATGGTGACTATCTGCTCAAAAAGGTCTGAAAAAGAAAAAAAGAATATTGAGAATGAGGGAGTATCAAAACTCTTCCCACATATTTGGTCAAGGTAGCATTCTAAGCTTACGGTGAAAACACCACTAAAGAGGACAATAAAAGAATGCATAACTAAAAAGCTAATGGTGGGGGGAAAAGAATAACAAAAAAAAAAACCTAGTTATTCCAGAAGTACATATAAAAGAGGAATAAAGGATTAAAGAACAGATGGAACAAAAAGAATTAAAAAAATACACTTAAAAACTCCATTATAGCAACCTACAGAATGGGAGAAAATATTTCCAACTCGTAATATCTGATAAGGGGTTCAAATCCAAAAATACACAAAGAACTCCTGCAACTCAATAGCCAAAACCCAAATAATCCAATATTAAAATGGGCAAAGGACCTAAATGGACATTTTTCCAGTAAGATATTCAAATGGCCAATAGGCACATGAAAAAGTGCTCGGTATCACTAATTACCAGGGAAATGCAAATCAAAACCGCAGGCTATCACCTCAAACCTGCTAGAATGGCTAACAACGTGACCAGAGATGAAACCAAGAGTTAGACACCTAACTGTGCCACCCTGGTGTCCCAAGAGTGAAAAGGCAAGCCAATGGGAGAAGAAATCTGCAATACACATAACAAAGGGTTTCTATTCAACAAATATAAAGAATGCTTACATGCTGACTGAAAAACAAACCAGACAACTTAAAGGAAAAATGAGCTAAAAAATCTGAACTCCCAATACTGAGTACCTTTAGGAAACCCAAAAGGCCAATAACCAAATGAAAAAGTGCCCAACATTATGAGACATCAGAGTAATGTAAAACTGAAACAACAAAGGAATTCTGGCAACATGGCAGCACCACAGCTTTTGAATCTACCTCAAATTTTCATCTAAAAAACAAAAAATTCCGGGATGTCTGGGTGGCTCAATCGGTTGACAGTCCAACATCAGCTCAGGTCATGATCTCAGAGTTTGTGACTTCAGTCCCACACTGGGCTCACTGCTGAGAGTGTGGAGCCTGCCTCAGGTCCTCTGTCCTCCCCCCCACCCCTGCCCTCTGCCCCACCCCCACTAGCGTTCTCTCTCTCAAAAATAAGTATAAAAAAAGAACTATAAAAAAATTCCAAGTTTGAAAAAAAAAAAAAAAAACAACCAAGAAATAACCACAAACCCCAAAATATGAGCCTGTGAGGACAAATCACCAAGAGCCACATGATCTCCAAAGTGCCACTTGTGCCTCAGAAAGCACAAGGAATCATTCACATGTGAGAAGAGGCCAAGCCCCAGACAACCAACAGGTACCCACTGCAAAGCACACAGGCCGATCTGAGAAAGCTGCAAACACCAGGAAGGCGGTTGCTCAGTTCAAAAGTGGGTGAGCACAGGGGCTGCAGATTAAGGTCTGAGAGGGGTGAGGCCACCTAGGACCCGGAAAGTTTCCAACCTGATCTAGCAGGGCTCCCTTGCCAGAGGCAGCCCTACAAGGAGATGAAAAGTTGGGAAGAGGGACACTGAGTAAGAAGACAACAGAGACCACAGAGACAGAGGAAAGAAGGCAGGTCTATATGACACTAGAGGACAAAGCCAGGAAATCTCAAAAAGCAAGCTGTCGGGGCACCTGGGTGGCTTAGTCGGTTAAGCGTCCGACTTTTGCTTAGGTCATGATCTCGCAGTTCGTGGGTTCGTGCCCCGCATCGGGCTCTGTGCTGACTGCCAGCTCAGAGCCTGGAGCCTGTTTCAGAGTCTGTGATTCCCTCTCTCTCTGACCCTCCCCTGCTCACGCGGTCTCTCTCTCTCCTAGAAATAAATAAAACATTAAAAAAAAAAAAAGCAAGCTGTCATATTTTGAACACTGAATGAACAGGGAGTTCTGTGAAGCTGGAAAAGGTATCCCAAATTACCCTCTGAAGAAACCAATTTCATTAAAAATGAGCAAAGAAAAGAGCTGATGTCAAAGCTCATATAAAGTTCTAAGAAAAACAAGAAGCAAAACAACATCCTTATAAATAATGAACATATGCCAGGAAGAGGGGACAACCTAAAGGACACTTAAAAAATACACAAGCTGGGGCGCCTGGGGGACTCAGTCGGTTGAGCATCTGACTTAGGCTCAGGTCATGCTCTCACAGTCCATGGGTTTGAGCCTCGTGTCGGGTTCTGTGCTGACAGCTCAGAGCCTGGAGCCTACTTCAGAATGTGTCTCCCTCTCTCTGTGTCCCTCCCCTGCTCATGCTTTTTCTCTCTCTCAAAAATAAAAAACATTAAAAAAAGTACACAAGCCATAAAACAACATAAATCAGAACTAAAACTCAGAAATGGAATGATAGATCTCAGGAAAGAATTAGAAAAGGAAAAAAGCTTCAGGAGTGAAGACGAAATCAGAAGGAACACAAGTGTGAATAAACACAACACGTACTGCTCAGAAGAACTAAAAGGTGAAAGGAGGAGAATTTTAAATAGAAAAATAAAGAGATAAAGGAACAAATCATCAAGGCCAAGACTGTCTAACATAACAAATAGCAGCTCTTGAATAAATTGAAAGAGAATACTAAAACCTGTAATGTAAAAAAAATTTTCCTAAAGTGAAAAATGTTAAGGGGCACCTGGATGGCTCAGTCAGATGAGCATCCAACTCAGCTCATGATCTCACAGTTGGTGGGACTGAGCCCCGTGTGGGGCTCTGCACTGACTGTATGTAGGCTGTTTGGATGCTCTCCGCGCCCCTCACCTGCTTCCTTGCATTCCCTCTTTCTCACTCTAAAAATAAATAAACTTAGAAAAAAGAATGTTAGAAGACTACACTTCAAAAGAACACTGTGCATACCTAAAAACAAAAACAAAACAAAATGAAATAACCTCACCCAAAATGATAACTACCAAAACACGCTCTAGCAAAATTACAGGACTTTAAAGAACTTGGGCTTGACACATATAAAAGAACTAAAATTAGATTAATAGACTTTGAGAGTGATGCTTTATGTCATTAGAAAATGACACAAAATTTTTTTTTAAAAAATGGGAGCCAGAGGGCACCTGGGTGGCTCAATCAGTTGAGCATCCAACTCTTGATTTCAGCTTGGGTCATGATCCCAGGGTTGTGGGAGTGAGCCATGCGTTGGGTTCCACACTAAGTGTGGGGCCTGCTTGGAATTCTCTCTCCCCGTGACTCTGCTCCTTCTGCTCTTCCTCTCAAAATTTTTTTTTAGAAAATGGGAGCCAGAGATTTTATATCCAGCAAAAATAATTTCAAAGAAAAAGGGGCACCAACCTATCAACATATAAGAACCTATGGAATACTGATCACTTCTACAGGTCCTTCCTGAGGAACTGACAGAAAAATAAACTTCAGGCAACCAAAATGACTAAAGACAATACCACAAAGACTGGTAGTAAACATTAAATGTGTAATTACTTATAGCACAAAAATGCTAACTAAAATTAAATGATATAGTACAATTATAAAAACCATGGGGAGGGGAACCATATGCGAAGTTTTAAAGGAATGTAATCATATTGGTTGTGATGTCCTGAGGCTTTCATTCTGACACCAGTGTGTATAACAAGTTAAAAAAATTAGGAGTTATGGAATATTCTAATCCTATTAATCCCTATGTCCTTGAGAACCAAGATTCTCTGTGTAGAAAAAAAGGAATTTCACTTATAGAGAAGTAAAACTCCAACAGTCTTAAACTTAAATAATACCAGCATGAACTCCTAAAATATTTTAGTTCTGTACAAAAAGAAAAAAAAAGGCCTGAAAACATCAATTTACTTATAGCAATCACTATCTGTAGTGTCTACATTATGGCCTTGATTTAAAAGGTTATTTATTTTGTGAGAGAGAAAGAATCCCAAGCAGATTTCACACCATCAGTACAGAGCCCAAAGTGGGGTTCGAATTCACAAACTGTGAGATCATGACCTGAGCCAAAACCAAGAGTCAGACACTTACCCTACTGAGCCACCCAGGCACCCCTAAATTATGGTCTTGAAATACTGTTTCCTACCAAAAGAAACCAGGGCTTTTTGGGAGGAACTACTAATTTCAAATCTGGATCAAAAATGTACACAAAGAGCCTACAATATCTTGTCATGTCACATATCAAGGAAACTATCAAAAACTACTTATCAAAGCCTGGGTCCTGTCAGAATAACTCGGGAAAAAAAAGTCCTGAAGAGGTGCCCACTGGCCAAACATAGGACATTCTGAGTGCCAATAAAGATAATAATATGACATGAACCTCTGACAAAACATATACATGAAAATGTTCGTAATTATTTTATACTGATATATTATCTTTAAAACTGGTAAAATAAAGGCAAGGCAAAGAATCAGGTATTTTCTTGTCTTTCCTATATAAACTATAAATCACTGGATAACCAAATAGTAGGTAAGAAAATCGTTTCTTTATAAAAGTGTTCCAATGTCAATTAAAAAATTCAATTGAGATACTATCATTTTGCAATCCTAAATGATTACTGGATCTAAACCTTGACTATCACTGGCTGCTAACATCACAGAGACAAAACAAAAGTGCCTTCTGAGAAAACAACACTAGTTACAACCTTGTCAAAGAAACTGAACCAGAGTTTGGTTAAGGATCTGGACCCAGCCACATTTTAGAATAGAAGCTAGAGGAAAAAATGAAATTTTTGAATTGCATCCTAAGTATGCAATCCAGACCACGTATTCTTAATAGGAGCGCTTTTGCAAGGATGTGAAAAGATCTTAAGGTGTTACAATGGCTGTGACCTTCCACCCAGCAAAATATTATTCCTTAGTATTTAATGGGGAGGGTTAGGGAGAAAAATATCTAAAAAGGCTCTCTATATAGGGGAATGATAATTTCTTAGAGGTCTGACGAACACATATCTAAGCTCTGGAAAACTATAGGTCAAATGGTTCAGGTTCAACAAGCAAGTTATAAGGAAAAAAGAAAAGGAATGGAAGAGGAACCTTAGATTTAAAACATATATCACATTTTTAAAAT